TTTCTGACTGTTTGTGCATAAATTGTTTGGTTATGCAAACCAATTGTTTCAGCAGCTGTCTGAGTGGCTGGTCTCAGATGATCTTGGAGGTGAACCTGCTGGATGTGGAGGTCCTGGGCTGGTGTGGTTACAAATCGTCTGCGGTTGTGAGGCCGGTTGGCTGTACTGCCATATTCTCTGAAACGCCTTTAGAGACGGCTTATGGAGGAGAAATGAACATTCAATGCACGAGAAACAGATCTGGTTGACATTCCTGCTGTCAGCATGCCAATTACACTCTCCCTCAATGCTTGTGGCATCTGTGGCATTTTGCTGTGAGACAAATCTGCACATTCCAGGGTGGCCTTTTATTGTGGGCGCTATAAGGTACACTAGTGCACTACTCATGTTGGATCGGCATCTTGATGTGGCACACCTGTGAGGTGGGATGGATTATCTCAGCAAAGCTGAAGTGCTCATTATCACACATTTAGACTGATTTGTGAACAATATTTGAGAGAAATTGTAATATTGTGTATCTGGAATGAATTTTAGATCTTCATGTCCATCTCATGAAAAATGGGAGCAAAAACAAAAGTGTTGCGTTTATATTTTTGTTCAGTGTACAATAAACCCACTTCTTAAAAAAAACGAGTCTTGACCCCTGCCTCCACCGCAGCTTCAGACCCATCTCTAAACTTCTGTCCATTTCCAAGATCTTGGAAAAGGTTATTGTTAAAAAGCTCACAGCTGCTCTTGATGAACATAACATCTATGAAGGTTTCCAGTCAGGTTTTGTAGAGCTCATTCTAATGAAACAGATCTTCTTAGGGTCTCTAATGACCTTCTGACCCACAGTGATGCAGATGACTGTTTTGTTCTGGTCCTACTGGACCCTGATTGTAGCCTTTGACACTGTTGACCATCATCTGCTACTGGAGAGGCTGAGAGACTGGGTAGACCTCTCAGGAACTGCTCAGGACTGTTTCTCCTCCTATCTGTCTGAGCGTTCCTTCTCTGTGGCCATCTTCAAGTTTAGGTCCTCCGCCACATCCCTCTCTCATGGTGTCCCATAAGGTTCTGTGCTGGGGTCTCTACTCTTCCTCCCCTTTCTGCTTCCTCTTCAACACATCCTGAGCTAATTCAAAGGAATCTCCTACCCTCTTTACGCAGATGACATCCAACTGTTTATCTCCTTTAAGCCCCATGAGATGTCTAAGCTGAAGCTGTTACACACCTGCTTACACTCTATTAAAACCTGGAATCAGAGAGGCTGGTGCTGTTCAGCTGTCATCCAGATGGAGGCGCTGCAGGATAAGTGTAACAGAGTCTTTCTGAAGGTTTTTTTTCTTTTTGGAAAATAATAAAACAGACTCAATCACCTGTAAAGATGTCCTACTGAGTGTCTGTGTGGAGAAATTAGTTTTGTGATGACAATAAAAGACTGAGTCTCTGTTTTACTCAGGCTGAACTACAGCATCTATTCTCAGGTGTGATCCCACTACTGAGCGGTACGGGGGCTTTGACCTGCTCCGTCTCCGACCTGGGCCGGTGCACCCCTCCTTGGTCAACCTGGTGATCCCGGGCTCCCCCAGGAGCACCATATCGATACCGAACTTAGCGCGGACACCTGATCAGCATAGTCCACAGCAGCCCAGAACTCCTGAGCTCAAACGATCTTCCAGCCTCAACCTCCCAGTAGCTTGGATTACAGGCACGCGCCACCGCACCCGGTGTGGACCTGAGGACCAGACAGGAGATTGAACTGTTAGATTATTTCACCAAGAGTCACATGAAAAACTGATGTCTCATCAGGTAACATTTAAATCACCTGTGAGTCTTCGGAGGAGGAACATTAAGCTCAATACTTTAACATCTAAACAAAAACACAATCAAAACAATCTGCTGAAGATTCATCTTAGACTTCTAAATGTAGGTCAAGTCCAAACATTTCCTAATTTTTCTTTTTAACAAAATTTTTTTCAGGTTGTGTGGGTTGTTTTTATTTACTACATGATAAACAAAAACACAAAGAAACTCAGCAGCAGTGACTAAATACTGATGATCAGTAATCAGTTTTTCATTTGACTCTTGGTAACATCATCTAACAGTTAAATCTCCTGTCTGGTCCTCAGGTACACACCGGGTGCGGTGGCGCGTGCCTGTAATCCAAGCTTCTGGGAGGTTGAGGCTGGAGGATCGTTTGAGCTCAGGAGTTCTGGACTGCTGTGGACTATGATGATCAGGTGTCCGCACTAAGTTCGGTATCGATATGGTGCTCCTGGGGGAGCCCGGGGCCACCAGGTTGACCAAGGAGGGGTGCACTGGCCCAGGTCGGAGACGGAGCAGGTCAAAGCCCCCGTACCGCTCAGTAGTGGGATCACACCTGAGAATAGATGCTGTAGTTCAGCCTGAGTAAAACAGTGGGACTCAGTCTTTTATTCTCATCAGGATAAAATCACAACACAAACTCTGAGTAGGACATCTTTACAGTAGATTCAGTTTGTTTTATTGCTAATAAAACTCCTTCAGAAAACAGCCCCTCTACTTGACCTACAGCACCTCCATCTGGACAAAAGCAGAATCTTCAGCAGCCTCTCTAACGTCCTGCACATGGACACAAACAAGAAACATGCATGTGTTGATGCCAAAGCTACATTTTGAACATCAGCCTTAACTTACATCATAGTTTCTCCTTGACAAAATTCTTGATAAATTTTTCCATTTACTTGTTTTCATCTTGCCACATTCCCTCTTCCAGAGCTGGCCAGTGGTGCCTTCAGGGGTTAACATATTTTTATTTACTCTGTCGAAACCTGGCATTCTACTTTTAAATCATTTTGAGGATTGCATTTACACTCTCATCCTGACACACACACACACACACACACACACACACACACACACACACACACATGCAGACACACACTCAGGTCATCCATCTCCAGCTTTCCACCCAGGCTGAACACACACGGGGGTTTATGTGAATGGTGGTGCTAAGTAAACGCGCGCTGACACAATGGAGCCTTTTCTTTCAGCAGAAAACAGGAAACTAGAACATTTCTGAAGAACAGCAGAAGGGCGATGCTACAGCTACTTTTGAATTCTACTTGACAATCTAAGCTGAGACTAAATGCTTTGAGACAAACTGGAAGAAGTGCCATAAGAAATAAGATTAAAGATGGGTTAAAGCTGCTGCTAATGGGACATTAAGGTCACCATGGTAACCACACATCTGTATCTCTAACACTAGACATTAAATTAAATGAGAGGCAAGAACCATGAGCAGCAAACGGCTCTGATGGTCACAAATTAGAATCTCTCTGTTTCCACGGTGTCTTATGTCAATTTGACAAGTTAAAAAGACCCTCGAGTTTCAGCTAAAACCCAACTGAAGTCTACGGAGGGTTCGGAGTGCACTTTCTGCTCGGTTAATGGGATTTGACAGAAAACCATAAGTCCCACAGCTGTGAGACAGCGGGAAAAAGCAGACAAGCACTAGACATATGATTTGTGTACGGAAAAGCAACCACCAATGAAAAAATGTAAAATTCTCCAACAATCAAAAAAATACTTAAAATGTGTTTGTGTAAAAACTGTCAAAATTTCCTAAATACCAAATCTATTTTTCTGATTGTTTATTGTTACCTCCCCAATTTTGGTGTAATGCCCTAATTATTTTTCCCATAAAGAATGTACTTTTAACCTTTTCTTGCAGGAAATTTGACAAGTTCAGTCAGATTGTGTCTCTTCATGTTTTAGGTATTTGTCATCGGGCAGGAAAATTGGACTACATATATATGTATGTGTATGTATATATATATATATATATATATATATATATATATATATATATATATATATGTGTGTGTGTGTGTGTGTGTGTGTGTGTGTGTGTGTTTTCTGTTTCTACAATGTCATAGATTTGACAAGTTAAAAAGACCCTTGAGTTCCAGTTTTTAAGTCATACTATGCAACTTTGTCAGATTTTTAATTATTTTTCTTGAGCCAGCATGTGCCTAAATGACCCTTTACACAGTTAATGAAACGTGACTCAGACCCCTCCGCCCTCTGTGGCCAGAATACTGCATTTGCAACTTCAGAGTGCCTGTCTGGTGGAGCTGACATGCCTGGCGCTGCAGTCTGCACCAGGCATGAACATATCTGATATGTTTGGTTTAGTTATCAACCGCTCCTTTAGACATTAATAAAGGCTGGAGAGACATTTCAGCTGTTAGATTAAGGTGTTAAAAAGAGAAACGCACAGCAAGGAGATAAGTGTTGCTTTTGGTTCTGCTAAACGAACACTAGGGGGAGCTAAAAGCAAGCAAAGCTGCCAAGTGTTCCTTGCTCAGCTGTTCACTGTAATGGGCTCGACACACGGGAGGCGACATCGCCTCTCCTCCATTCATTTTCAATGAGACGTGCGCGACAAAGCGATAATCGCGGGTCTATCTCCTACTAAGCGAAACGCGAAAAACATGCGTGTGAAATTTTGCACTCGTGCACGTGTCGTGCACGTGTCGTGCACGGACGACCCAGCGACACGATCCCAGAAAGTTGAAACATTTTCAACTTTTCATCGCTGTCGCTCGGACGAGGACCAATCAACGGAGGTTTCATTCACTGACCAATGAGCGGACATTATGCTCCGCACATCTCCGAGCAAACATGAAGGAGAAGTTGATTATTATTATGTTTTATGTAGTAAAATCAGAAGTAAGATTTCACATAACTCTAGCAGCACCTTGTGAAACATCATATCTACCACTTTATTAACTCTGAACCGCTTAAATAACCTTAATTCCCTCCAAAGTGACACAGCCAAACAAAACAACGGAAGTTTCGATTTCGCCATGGAACAGAACGCGTAGACGGCTTTGCCGCTGGCCGCTGCCGCGGATCGCCTCCCGTGTGACAGGTAATAAAAGCGACAAATTTCGCTGATCGCGGTCGTTTGTCGCCTCCCGTGTGTCGAGCCCATTAGGCTGCTTCATAGGCACAAACATCCCAATATAGGAACCAGTCAAACGGATGAAGAAAAGCTAAAAAAAAAAGTTCTGATTTTTAAAATGCAACCCTTTATTAAGACAAACACGGAGGTCCAAAGTTTTCTCATTTATAAATAATTTATTTAACGATGTTTCGCCTCTTTTCAGTATAAGCATGAAAAATTTGTATCTCACAAAACAACATGTGTTTGTTGCTCCACAATGACATAAAATTGACTTCACTAAAACATCCAGAATGCTTGTCTTGAAACCTTCCTCCATCACAAGATTTAAACATATTTCTGTAAACTGGCTGAATATTCGTCTAACTGTATTTGGTCCGAATGTCTGGAGATGTCCTCTTGATGGTGACGTACTTTTACACTGAAACTCAAACTTTGCACACATATTCAAACCATGTCCATGCTTACAGTCCAAGGTAAAACCATTCCATCTCTCAAAATTCTGAGACTGATACGTTTGAATCCTTTTAGGCACGATAGATTTATAGTGGTGTTAATTTGCCCTGAGATTAAACTTTTTGAAATGTTAACTTAAATTAAAGAAGCACTTTACATTAAAAATAGAGCTAAATGAATGTTTCATGTCAACACCTATAAATAGTACACACGTAGCACACAGTATTATTAAAATTGTAAGGCACCAGGACTGGTGTGTGTAAGAAGGGTTTATATGATTTCTCAGAATCCTTTTTCAACTGTTGATCAAACAACAATCCAATAAATTGATGCTCACGTCTCCTCTCATGGTTGTCTCTTATTTTCCAAACAGTTTTTGTTTTTCCTGCAGGACATATGCTCAGACCTTAGCTGCTTCGCTTTGGTTCAGCTCCATTCCACCCTCTGCACCCTTCTTGGACTTCTTCTTGCATCCAAGAGATTCAGCTTCCTCTAGGGTGGTGGTTAGAGGTTTGCCCAGCGTTTCGGGTAACAGCAAGGTCAGAACTCCAATAATGAAGGCCAGGATTCCCACAATTAGCTGCATGGACACATTGATCAATGAAGAAAAACATGTTCTCTAAGGTAACCATGTTAGTGTCGCAGAACAGATGTTACATTTGCATGTCTAATTTAAGGACAGATTGTATATTCTTGTTTTTGTTTTTTGTTCTGTACGAAGCCTCAAAAAGCTACCATGCAAAAGTGAATGGTTACAGGCATACTATGCAAATTTTTCATATTTTTAAATCACTTTCTTCTGCCACTATGTGCCAAAACTACCCTTTTCAGGGTTAATGAAATGTCACTCAGACCCCACCGCCCTCTGTGGCCAGAATACCGCACTTGCAACTTCAGAGGGCCCATCTGGTCCCTGCTGGACTCAGGCCCTGTCCACACGTAGCCGGGGATCTGCCAAAACGTAGATATTTTTCTACGTGTTGGCCTGTCATCCACACAAAAACGGAGTTTCTTTCACACGAAAACGGATCTTTTTAAAAACTCCGGCCAAAGTGAAGATCTGCGTTTTCTCCGTTTTGGGTGTCTGCGTGTGGACAGACAAAACCGGAGTTTTAAGGTCCGCAACGTTACTTTCCGCGACAAAAAATGTTGACATCACGTGTGCGACCTGTGTTTACACTAGCCGACAGCATGGATGCCCTCAGAGCTGCGCTCGCTTTATCAATTGTCCAAGTGCTTTTTGCTTGTTTGTTTTTGCAAGCGGAATTACTGCTCCTTGCGGAAGACCACAGACGAAGGACAAGGTTAAGAACGGGGGAAGTACTGCCGCCTACAGGTCTGGCATGTCCTTAACAAAGTATTTATCTGGGTACGTGTGGACAGTTTTTTTTTTAAATGAGGTGGTGTGGATGCAAGTTTTTGGAGGGGCGGATATCCGTTTTAAAAAAAAAACCGGCTACGTGTGGACTAGGCCTCAGTAAAGTGGAGCTGACATGCCAGCACTGCAGTCTGCTTCCAGCACATTTCCTGCATGTTTTAGATCGTGAACACAGCTGATTTGTTTAATTTAGTGATGGAACGCTCCTGTAGAATCTAATGAAGGCTGTGGAGACATTTCAGCTGTTAGATTAAGACGTTTAACCCTCTGGAGGCAGGCGTTACAGATTTGCTATGTTAAAACCTACCTACCTGGTTACTCCACATACGTATTTCATGAGCATTTTTTAACTGAGAAGTACCCCTGAAGAACTTAGTCGTTCGTCCTTTTATCAAAACTTAACTTGATCCTGAAAGGGTTAAAAGACACAGCAAGAAGATTTTCACTACTGATTTCAATAGCGGACACTAGGGGGTGCTAAAAGCAAGCCAAAACTGCTTTGTCTCCCTGTAAATAATGAAAAGATATTTCATCCTTTTGTCCCCCAGAATAATCTGGTGACAACTTGCTGAACAATGCGCACTAATCTGAAAACTTTACAAGAAAGAAACAGTGAGCTTGTGGACCTGAGGTAGATAGATCCAGACATCTGCTAGATACACGCAGAAAGGAGCCACCACACTGCCGACACGACACATCATACTGCCACTGCCCACAGCCAGAGACCTGAGGGAGGAAAACGTGCGATCCACATCAGCGATTTGATCAAAACAGGGTAAAAACAAAACATAAACAGTGTAGGAGCTAAAAGCAGTGACAGCATCAATAATCCGATTTATACGCTTGAAAAGTTTTGTTTTAGAATGTATTTGTACAAAATTTGATATAGAAAACACAGATCAGACTTCTTCTGATATGTTCTGACTGCATCTCACCTGATGATAGTTGGGTAAAGCTCGCAGGTGTACAAGTAGATGAGACCAAAGGCAATCGCCACAGCAAACTTTCCTATCATGCTGAGACCAACAGCAAGAGTGTTGTTGTCCTGTAGAGACCAGACATGTAAACAAACATGTATGCAAATAAAACATAAGCTCTTTAGAAACATTTTTTATTAATCATACCCAGAATTCAAACTTCAGGTTTCGTTTTTGATTAGGAATATGCTTAATTTTTTTCTGAGGGAAATAATAAGGTCAGGTAGGCTATAATGGGGGCTGGTATAAATAAGGTGTCAAAAGAATATAGATAATCAGCTTAGTGCCCTAGTAGTAGAGTGTCTGATAGCGATAGGTACCGAATTCTGTACTTTTTAAGGTACCGACCGAATTCCAAAGTACCGACCGAGCACCGATTCATGTCATTTCAAACGGTGCCTCGTTTCGGTACCAGTCCATCATAACGAGAACTTGCCAAGACAGCTGTGCATGCGCAAGAGCGTTATGTCGTCGCTCGCTGCGAGCCAGTTGTAAACAGAGCAGCGTGGTAGAAAAAAACGCACGCTAAAGCTTGGGTCCACTTCACTAAATGTGATGGGTAACTGGGTGATGATGAAACCAGCGTCAACGATCTAAGTGAGACATCCTCATCTTAATCTGCTCCGGTAGGTAAATATAATTAGCTTGATATGTTAGCTTCGGTTTCGCTAATGGTTCGTTCGCTTTCTCCTCGGAACTCCGAATTCCTGACTAGAAGAACATGAACGCGCTCTAGGTGATTGGGTGAAGACGAAACCAGTGACAACGATCTAAGTGTGAGGCATCATCATCTTAATCTGCTCCAGCAGCTAAATAAACTGTTTAAGATAACGTTAGCTTGATATCTTAGCTTCCATTGCTACCATTGTTATCAGCTAATGGTGTGTTCGCTTTCTCCTCGGAAATTCTAACTTCCCAGTAAGAAAAATCAAATGAAAAAGGACAGCGAAAGGAATGAAGATACACAGTAAATTTAGTTCACAGTAAAGATGTTTGCTTCAGTTTAATTATCAGCTTATAAAACTACAAGGACGATGTTAAAATACAAACAGATGTATGTTATTTATCATGATATTTATCAAATATGGTTATATATTGAGAAAAATATATATTTAATTATAAAAGAGAATTAAAAATATTAAACACTCAAAAGTATCGAAAATTGGTACCGTTAAGTACCGGTATCGACTCGTAGGTACCGGGAATTAGTACCGAATCGATTCTAATGTCAAAGGTACCCATCCCTAGTCTGCCCTGGGACTGGCAGATCGGAGTTAGATTCCCGGTAGGGTCATACCAAAGACTTTAAAAAGGGACCCAATACCTCCCTGCTTGCCACTCAGCTTCAAGGGGTTGGATGTGGGGGTTAACCACCAAATAATTCCAGAGCGCAGCTCACTGATCCCCCATGGGGATGGGTCAAATGTGGAGATGAATTTCACCAGTGTGTGATGATGACTATGGGAATTTAAACAAGCATTTTTTTAACCTGTTAGTTACTGCTGATGTTCATGGTGCTGTCTATGCAAACAATACAGATAAAATACTAAATAATGTTTGTTAAGAACAAACAGTGTTTCTCTGTGTGCTGCTGCAGCTCTACCGTTTACAGAAACACAGCTTTGGTCTCTCTATGTGACGCCACATCAACACAGCTTGTGTGATATAACCCCACCCACAAAGAGGTTATTTATATATTTGACCTGAACCCTACAAACCTAATTTTTAGGCTGCATTGATGTGGGTGACTGTAGCCACACACTGAGCTGTTTGTAGTAAAATAAATTTCCGTCCTCCCTGAGATGGAACATTTGCGGACTTATTTCTGTCAGAGGACTCTGTTGTGAAGAGAATTTTATAAAATCCAATGCAGATGCCAATTATCCAGATAAGTTTGCCACAGTGGAACGTGTGTCACAAAATCTCTGGCTGTCATTTCCAGATTCTGTCAAAATACTGCAGGGATTGTGAATACCTCCTGAGATAAAAACTAGTGCAGCATTCAGTCTAACTCCCAGATTAGCCAGGTTTAATTAGTAAAACTATGCAAATGCCCAGTTTAAAGCTCTCTAGCCCAAATTAATCTGTGGGGAGAAAAAAAGCTCTTGCGCTCCTGTTTCAGGAAACGAAATTTGGGGGCAGAAAAACGGCAGGATTGGAAGTTTTACTCATAATTATTCATGATATTCTGAAATCTCGCCTCTGATTGGCTAACAGCTAAACAACATTGTATTTTCTTGCTTTGCATCTGTGATGTTTTATCTCCACAAATAGCTCAAGCCTGAAGGAGTGTGGATGTAGTGGAGTTGCTAATGCTAACGGTTAGCTTCTCCTAACCTAATACCCGCTCTGCTCTCTCCTGGCTGCAAAAATCACAGACTTCCGTGGTTGCGAGTGAGGATGAGTCCATGAAAGCAAATTGAGAGCGTGGCTTTTTCTAATCCCGTCTTTGAGCAACTAATCCAGGAAATATGGGTTCAAGATCGTTTTCACATTCAGCATGCATGTGAAACTCAGACTGACCGATCAGTTCCCCAGTGAACTTGCTCTTTAAGGCTCCTCCCCTCTACGGTTACTTTAGAAAGTGTTCATCAAACTAACATGGGCTTATGTTTTTTCCATTCTGGAATGTAAACATTTGCATAGGCGCACTAGGCAGTTTTAGCTTTCACCCCCTAGAGTCTGTTTTAACTCACTGTCGTAAAATCAACGGAGAAGCTCTTCTTGCTGTGCGCTCCTCTTTTCAACACCTTAATCCAGGGCTATCCAATACAGGCCACGAGGGCCAGTATCCAGCACGTTTTGGTTTTAACCCTGCTTGAACACGCCTGATTTCAATCAGCAGGTGATTAACAGGCTTCTGCAGAGCCTGATGAGCTGCTGCACAGGTGATTCAACCACCAAATCTAGTGTGTTGGACTAGAGAAACCACTAAGACATGCTGGATACCGGCCCTCGAGGCCCAGAATTGAATAACCCTGCCCTAATCTAACTGCTGAAATGTCTCTTCAGGCTTCATTGATTCCTCCAGGAGCGGTTCATCACTAAATCAAACCAATCAACAGTGTTCATGATCTAAAACATGCAGGAATCATGTGCTGGAAGCAGACTCCAGCGCTAGCATGTCAGCTCCAGATTTACTTTTGACTAACAAGGACCGGTCCAGATACTCTGAAGGGCGGTGGGGTCTGAGTGACATTTCATTAACCCAGTAAAGGGTCACTTTAGCACATATTGGCTCAAGAAAATGATTTAAAATATGAAAAAGTTGCATAGTGTGCCTTTAAAGAGCAAGTCACCCCCAACAATAAACTTACTTCACTCCCACTTCATGTTTGAAAAATGCAACAAATGCTGTTGCTTGGCAGACCGAGAGGGCGGAGCCGCTAACAAATACACACACACACAGGCTCACAATGGCAGATTTAAATTCAAATACAGTGCAGAATTTTTCCCTGACGACGGCACAACACTGACAGTTTTAGGCAGAATATTTGAATTTTAACCAAGATGCACTGAACTGCCAAATTATTGACGACACGTGTCTGTAGCATGATTAGACACTCCTTTATATAGTTTATCAGCAAAAAAATGTGATTTGGGGGTGACTTGCTCTTTAATGTTTGCTTTATAGAGAGCAGAATAAAAAGATGCACAGTTTCTACTGTATCCATGGAGCTACTTTCCACTTCATTAGACTTTGTATTTGCTTGGATGCAAGGCCCAAGTTATGAGTGTTAATAAGGGTCAGAGCACACTCTCACTGGGAACTGGAAGTGTCATATATCAGAGCTCAACAGTGACCTCTCTGTGGCCCGGACTACAGGCAATAAATAGTAGTGTAGGAGTGAAAACAAACTGTGCAACAGCAGGAAATACTTTTAAAAACAGCTGATCCTTTTTCTGCTCTGAAGCTAAATTATGCCACGAATCTTGCCGCTGATGGGGCCGCAACTGTTCTAAAATGTTACTCAGAAACTAGACCCTCACTGAATTAGCCTTTTAAATGTCATGAAACAAATGCTTAAAACACAAGGTATTTGTCTGTGTACATACAGCCGGTACTGCTATGATGAGCATACACGCGACCCCGGCCAGCAGCAGCGCTGGGGCACACGTCTTCTTCCTTCCAATCCGATCCATCGCAAAACAGCCAATCAGATAGGAGGGGATCTCCACAGCACCTGGACACAGCCAATCACAGCAGCCTATGGTCAAAGGTGGTTGCATCACTGACACATGGTGACATTCAATCTGATGACCTAAAATAACTGTGGGTAAAGAGCAGCCCTGAATAATGGCTTCAGCTATAAGACTGGACTGAGGAAATGTGGCAGAATTGTATGAAACTTCTCCTTTAGAGGGCAAATGTGCATTTGACCAACTAATTTACAGAAAAATAATCTGAGCAGAAACATGCTCTCTCGAAACCCATCATGTTTCAGTGATCTATTGGATAAGACGTCTATTACAGCACAAATCTTATTTTCCTAATTAGATGCCATGTGGAAGCTATTTACCAGTTTTCCTTTATTGCTCACAGCCTGATTCCAGTCTCTGTTGCTATAAACAGAGGAGGAAGCAATCTGGAGAACAGCAAATAATTATCTTTGCCCTTAACGTCACTATGGAAGACACTAAAGCAGAAGCATGGAAAAGTTTAGGCACCCCTGAACTTTTTTTCTTCTATGAAACGTTAAGTGAGTTGAAATCTAATTAGAACTTCAGCTTGTTGCACAAACACCCTCCCGGTGGGGAATGAGTCTGCCTCATGAGGAGGAGTCCAAGTGTCTTGGTGTCTTATTCTTCGGAGGTGGTAGAACAGAAAACAAGATGGACCAATGGACAGGGGCTACAAGGCCCTGGTTTGCCATGTTGAAAAAAGGTTTGAAGCAACAGACGCCAGTTCTTTTGTGTCCCAACCATCACCTATGGCCATGAGATGTGAATCATGACCAAAAGAACAAGATCCTGAATACAAGAGGCCAAAATGAGCTTCAAGGGGTGTCTGCGTTTAGTATAAGGTTTGGTGAGGAGCTCCATCATGAGTGGCGCAAATGCTCCTCCTCAATAGGAGTCAACTGAGGAGATCCTGATCAGTCTTCCAGGCATTTCCCACAGGAATACCAGAGCAGGGATACAGACTTAGAATGCACTGGAAAGGCTATATACTCTCACAGGCCTAGGAACCTTATGTGGCGCCCCAAATAGAACTAGAACATGTTGCAGGTACCGGTTCCCCCCACAACCCTACCTTGGAGAAATGAAATATAGTCCCTCCAGCGTTTCTTGGGTCTTCCCTGTTGCGTGTACCCAGAAAACCTGACCAGGGAGGCTTCCTGACCAGATGCGCAAGCCACCTCAACTGGCTCCTCTTGATTGGGAGGAGCAGTGGGTCTACTCAGAACCCCTCCCAAATGACCAAACTTCTCACCCTATCTCTAAAGGAAAGCCCAGACATTCTGCAGAGAAAACTCATTTTGCTGCTTGTACCCGCAATCTCATTCTTTCGGCCACTACCCAAAGCTCGTGAGGTTTGGAACACAGATCGACCAAGAGCTTTGACTTCCAGCTCAGCTCTCTCGTCACCGCAACAGACCTGTATCACTGCAGACGCAGCACCAATCCGCTTATCGACGTCATGGCCTGCGTCTGCGTCTCCCCTCATGTGTCTCCTTGTGTTCTCCATTTGTCCCCAGATCTTCAGTCCTCTAGGTTTCCCTCCTCAGTCATCCCCCTCCCAGGTCCTGTGCTCCCTTGGCCCCCTTTAATCACGCCCCTGTAGTTTTTCTTTCTGTAGTGTTTTCCTTTAGTTTCAGCTTCCCCCTTAGAATATTAGTTATGTTTGCTGCCCTTCTGGTCTTTAGGTTTTTCTCTTAGGTCATTTTCCTTTAGTTACAGCTGTTCATGTTATTAGTCTCTTTGGTGTGTTTTTCCCACCGGTGTTTGTGGTTTTTCTCCCCCCCCCTTAAATTATTAGTTATGTTTCCTGCTCTTCTTGTCTTTAGATTTTATTCTTAGGTAATGTTAGTTTCCTCCCTGATTAGTAATTGAGTTCACCTGGTCTCTCTCTCTCCACTCACCTGCAGTTCATCTCCCTCTCATCCTCCCCAGTGTATAAAACCCTGTCTGTGTTTTGTCGGTCCATTGTTTGTGTCAGTCTCGTCTCGTTCCTGTTCCTAGCTTCTAGTGATTCCAGTGTTTCCAGTTCTCTAGTGTTTTTGATTACTCAGTTTAGATTTTTGGATTTTTGGTTTTGGCTCCCTGCCTCTTGGACTACTCCTAAATAAAGGCTTTATTTTTCATCATCCACCTCCTGCCTCGTTCATCTGGTTATCTGCATCTTGGGTCCTAAACATCCTCCTACACCAACTCGTGACAATCGATTTTGTGCTCCATCTTCCCCTCACTTGTGAACAAGACCCAGAGATATTTAGACTCCTCCACTTGAAACAGGATCTCATCCCTGACCTGGAGAAGGCATTCTACCCTGATCTGACTCAAGACCATGGTCTCAGATTTACTGGATCTGATTCTAGAGATCTGTTATCACCTTTCTCTTTCATTAAAACTCCTCAGCTCATTACTTACCAGCAAGAAAGAGGTTAATGTACTGGTTTCCCCCGAGGTAGACTGAGCCTAAGGAGAAGACATAGTAGCCCAAGCTGCCAATAAACCAAATGGCCCAAACTGTGCACGTCCGTCCCGCCATCCTCCAGCTTCCGAACAGATCCAGGATGGACAGCTTCTTCTCAGGCTTTGACGGCCTCTCTTTGTCCTGCAGCAGCAGGGCTTTACTGTTTTCTGTCTTCTCCGCCTCCAAGAGTTCCTCTGCCTTCAGCCTGCACTCAACGCCGTTGATGCGAGCGATTGTCTCCAACAGGGTCTGAGTCTCCTTGAAATGGCCTTTTGCCATTAAATAAAATGGCGTCTCAGGAAATTTCCAGCAAAAAAGGAGGAAAGGTGAGGTGCAAATGGAGAGGATGATTTGGTAAATCCACCAGACTCGAACTAGATAGCCAGTCAGAGCCACCACCATGATGCCGACCGCAAAGGCTGCATGAACGTGCATGGAGGTCCACGTGCGTACCTTGATGCCAGTGAACTCTGTCACATACACAAACACCACCACTAGGTAGCCGCTGGAAACCTGGTGAGAGACAAGCACAGAAGGATGAGAAAACGTGAGAAGAACAAAAAGAAATGTGTGATGGGATTAGAACCTGCAGAGTCTGGTACATGTGGTTCTTGTTTTAACGAGCGTATGGAACTGATTAAACAATTAATGCACTCATGAGCACGCTGTGTCCGTTTTTAATCAAGCTGAAAGCACATTTTCAGCTCTTTGATGTTTTAATGACCAAAACGCACCACAAGACTCAACAGGCCAGGCCCGGGTCAGTTTATAAGTGGTATTAAGTCAGGTTTGTAAGTTAATTCAGCCTGAATGAAATTTTTACATCACCAAAGTGTGACCGACGACACTTTTCTGCAGCAGAGACTATAGAGCCTGTAGGAGGTTAACACTGGAATCTGACTTGAAGTAAAAAACAACAGCTGTAGCAGATGGGGTGGGGTGGAGGAGGGTGGAAGTGACTAGGTCATTTTTCATACCTCCAGCTATAAAGATTTCTTGTTAACATCTTTAACTCTTTATGTGTTGGCTGTTCATATGGTGTAATGTGGTGTAAATGGAAGCAGAGATGTTCATGTGAAACTCGTTGGTTCACTTGTTTAATCAATACATTTGGAGTGGTCTCTAGTAGTACTCTGGGGAAAGCTCCAGTGCACCAGTTCCAGGAGCTAGCGACGCGACTCTACCATTGACTCAGTTTGCTCTGCAGCATTGAAGTTTTATCTCCACAAATAACAAAAGCATGGAGGAGTTCTGCTGTGTGGTGAAGTTGCTCATGCTAATTGTTAGCTTCCACTAGCACGGATTTTTCCTGGACGCTAAACCACCAACAGCCTTCCCCATCGTGAGTCAAGATGGGTGAGACCATGAATGTTAAGGGACAGTGTGACGTAGATCTGTCAGGATTTTTAAATCCTAGAGTTTCACCGTCTGTTTACTATCAGAAAGTAATGCATCGGTAATAGGAGACTATTTTCATATTCAGCATGGGTGAAAAACTCAGATTGACCGATTACAATCAGAAATAATTGTTAAAAAATGATTTTTCAGCTAATCACACATTTAACTAACGAGCCTTTCTTTAAGACACAAGCTGGTTGTGTTTTATAGCTGTCATTTACTGAAGATCCAGTTTATGAATCTGATTATAATAAAAACTGTTATAAATATAAACTCAATCTTCAATGTTAAGGTCATGTTTATACTGTAAATACTCAAATATGTTTGCTTTGTGAGCAGGAAAGAGAAAAACAAATCCACGCTTTAAAGTAATAGCAATGAGTCTGGAAGGCTTTTTTAACCTATTATTATTCTTATTATTTATTTTTTCTCATGAACTTCGCTCCCAGTGATTAGATGTAAAAGCTACTGCAAAAACAAATGAGCTCCACAAACCCCAAACACATGTTGTTATCATCATGACGGGCAAGGACATCAACAGAAAAACGTTTCTTTTCAAAACAATGTTGTGTGTTCAGGGTCACTCGAAAGCTAGCGTCATCTTTTCATGAAGTAAACAAGTCTTATTCCTGAAACAAATCAAATCATACAATTAAAGGAAACATGTCCGCCAACAGAAATACATTAAATGAACTTATTTAAAGAGATGGATTGGGGGGTTTTGGCTCGGAGCGATGCACACTGGAGAAAAACTTAACTGCTCTATGATCATGTTGCTGCTTGAATAGCTCCAGAAGTGAGTCTTTTTTCAAATGCAAACAGATGTCCGCACCGACGTTCTCGTGCTCTCTTTACTGAACTCACCATAGCGAGCAGGAAGCGGAGAACCACAAAGAAAAAGTAGTTTAAAGAGAAAGCCACGGAGACCCCGAGTCCAAACTGACAGAGGCTGGTAAACATCAGAATCCTCACACGGCCCACTCTGTTAGAGAGGGGCAGAGAAAGATGCAGTTAGAGACTTTTTATTTAATAAACACATTTAAAAGATGTATAATCAGCATGATGCTGCTGTAAATGGCGTCTGCAATCTTCTTAAAATGTGAACTCTGGATATTGTAAGATTTTTACCTAATCAAAACCTGTCAAGACATAACTTACTGCTGGATAATTTGTATATTTTGGAAGTTAACCATTAAAAATATTAAAAATAAGAAACTGTTGAACAAATCGATGAAAAAATAATCGTCTCTTATTTTGAAAACCTCAATGTTCCTGTGTGTTTTTTGTAAGAGAAGAAATAAAGACAATTGTGTTTCTCGACCCCGATATCTGCCAAAATAGCTGTTATCAGGATTGCTTTTCTATTAAAAAAACAGAAGGATCTGACAGTAAAAAAGAAAGTCAAACTAAAATGTTTTTTCCGACCACGACGCTTTGGTGACTGCTAATTATAAACATACACTGAGTCAAGCTGAGGACAACTGCTGAGTGGTTTTGGCACAAGTCCAGAGCTGGCAGAAGGTTTTTGTTGGACAAAACACGGTGAAAGTGAAGAAATATCGGCCTTAACCTCACAATGAGTGTGTTCATCTGGAGGTCACTTTGTATGCTGTGAGTGGAAGGCCAGACACAATGTAGGGCAGGAAGGTTTATTCAGTGTGGACTAAAACAATCTAATCCATCAGTAACTGATCCTGGTCTTGTAGTTAAAGAAACACTAAACAGTTTTTAAACATTAAGCTAGAGCTTTAACGTTGATCTCAGTGATTGTTGAGTTAGAAACTTGACCAGTTTCATATTCGACACCATTCTGCAGCCCTCTGAAGACCAGATACTGCACAGTTTTGTGGCATGGTTAGGTGCCCTATAGGTGGAGCTCTTTACCAGTTTAATGGCTCTTAGCTGTTATGCTAGCAGTTAACATTTTCAGTTTGCCGATTGTCAATAAAAAGCACAAGAAGAAGAAAAAGAAGAAGTTTGCTTTTTTGTTGGCGTCATGGCGGAGCCTGGAAGTAAATAAGAGTAATGTGTTTAGAGGCAAAGCAAAGAGCTGAAACCAGAGTGAACATTGGCACGACCAGTGCTAGTTTGAGGGAGGCTACAAACTCACGGACTGATGGTGACCTGGCTTTGTTGCTACTGGACTTGTAAATAAGTGTGGATCTTTTTACTTTGCTGTTTATTTTAGTATTAGCTGGCTCATGTCAGAGTTAGCTCGTTGTTAGCACTAGCTACAGCAGGCTGCAGCAGGGTTGTTTACGACAGCTGTAATTCCACTTTTAACAACTGGTTGAAAGAGGAATCACAACTTTCAATTCTCAGCTGTTTGGCCCTGTCACTCTCATCTGTCCAAACTCAGCTCATATGTTCCCAGAATGCTTGTTGATCTCCAAACCCTGTCAACAACCAATCTGACTCCCTCATTTCCTGCTTTTCTCCAGCCTAATCATCCCTTCTTCAGTCATTCTGCAAAAGTGAACATGCATTTAAAGTATTCAAGCACTTTCATTTAAAGATTCATGACAGAACAGCATTTAAAACAGATGCCGGCGTGCAAGCAGTCTTGTGGTGTTATAACATTAATTCCATGTGAAGGTTTCTGTAAGAACATGCTCACCTGTCGGCCATGTCTCCAAACACCAGAGCTCCAATCAGAACCCCCAGCATGAAGGTAGGCTGACACAGCTTGGCCAACCACTCTCTGTCACACACCAAGTCCCAGTCTGTCACGATGCTTTGGTGCACCTCGGTGTGGTCGTAAACAAAGCTCCCGCTGCATTCTCTCACAGTTTTGTTGCCGCTAAACTCGTAGATGAAGTCTTTGGGTTTTATGCGTAAAGCACAGCGGCACCGGCTCAGCTCCCACTGCTCCCCTTCAGCTGTCCTCACCACCAAGGGTCCGCCACTCCCAGACCCGATGACAGGTAGGATGTCCTCCAGGCTAGACCCTGTAATGTTATCGTACAGGACGGCAGTGATGTTGCCAGGGGCGCCACACACAAAGTTTGGAGTTTCCACCAGGAAAACTGAGGCCAAATAGTGAATTCCACATGCTACGGCCTGGAAGACTGCTGCGAAATAAAGACGTGCCTGATATCTGGACACAAAATGGAGAAAATAGGCAGAAGTAGAAACTTACAATTGATTCGAAACATATTAGGGTACAGTAACTGTAAATGTGACTTTTTTAACTTGCAGGGTTCTTTTTGACCTATAAGAGTTTTGTGCTACAACAGTTCAATTCAATTCAATTCAATAATTTATTTCACTCAAAGTTTAAATATACAAACTTCAAATTAGAATATAAGCATTCAAGTGAAATAGGGGGAGGAAGAAGAAAAAATCTTATATGACCTACCCCCTTTAACTAAGACAAGATAAATAACAGAGTACAAAATAGCCTTATACACAAAAAATAAACCGCTCTCTTACTTCCACAAATAATATCACTACTAAAAAATTAATCCTCCATCCTCAACTCACCAAATCATACGGTTTTAGCATTTTATCTTTATACATTTTTTTGAATTGATCAGTAGTTGTACATTTTTTTTATTCATCTTCCAGGTTATTCCATAATTTCACACCATATATTGAAATACACATTTGCTTTAATGTAGTACGAACAAATATCCTTTTAAACTCTGGTTTCTTTCTACTCATCATGTTATTAAGTTTGAACGTCTTAATTAAAGATTTGTGTACTTTTGAAACTTTGAAAATAAATTCTAAGCATTTTCAAGAACCTGAGAAAACCCTCACATTTACAATTAACACACCTGAGAAACGTACAGAAATCTAGAACACTACTTTGGTCATTTGATAAATTTAAGGGGAAATGTTAGAAATGTGGGGGAAACGCGTAAAAACGTGTGTGCTTTTTCCCACTGTAATGCAAACAAAAAGGATTAATTGAAAGAGAAATGTCAAAGAACTTTTGTGAAGTTCAAATTTAGCTTTTAGTTTAAACCTTTTTCTCCCTTTTTATGCAATTGAAAATCTTGATTTATGCTCAAGCTTAACCGGATGCTGATCTAGAGACCACACAGACACACGGAGAGAGAGAAAAAGCAAGGTTTGAAAGACTTTTTGATGTTTTTGTTACCTTTTGAAATGCCCGAGCTCGTCGAATATCCTCTCTACTGTCATGTTTAGCGGCTCCAGGCTCCCGGTGGGTTTCTCCCCGGCGGTTAGCGGATCTATGAGCGCCTTGGCACCGAAAAGGTCCACCACCAGGGTGGGAGGTGCGCAAAGACTTACGCACGTAAACACTCACGTCTCCATGCGCACCGGCCAAGCAGCAGCGGAAATCCTAGAACATGATGTATTTTTTTAAGTTAGCAACCATTTTTAATTACGGTTTGGAATCATGGTTCTTTTTATTATTTTGTTTTCTTTTTAGTGAGACTAACGATAAGAAATTAAATATATGCATGAAAAAATATACATTTTACACAATTTCCTTCCAATTTTGAACTTTGCAGCAGGTTAAGGAAATTAAAAGAACAAATCTGAAACGTTATTTGGCTAAAATGGAACCCAACAACACCCACTCAACACTGTAACCCCGAATAAGTTCAATGAACTCAAAATTTATGAGGAAACTGATTACCTAATAATTTTTAAGTTAACTATCTAAAAACTATAAGTTTATCATGACTTAAAAAATATGACCTGAATAAAATCAAAGCATTTAACTACCTCAAACCCATAGCTTAGTACTTAAGCAACTTACAAAGTTTAATTTCACTAAACTTGCATATTTTATTTTATTAGAACTTTTTTACATGTTTTTACTAACTTAAATATTATAACTTATATGAACTCTAAATGGACCTATTAAACCCTAACCCAAATAGGTTGAATTTACTGAAAAATGACAATGTGGCGGGCTGGTGAAGGCAGTAACTAACACCAGATCATGACTCACACACCCATAAATGCTAACAGTCAATGAAAGTGGAACACTCAGTCAAGTCAAGAGCTTCTGGTGTGAACAACCACAGTATTAACAAGCCGTACAGCATTACTTTGACCAACCTCCTCACTTACAGTATGGTGCCAACATGATACAAAAAGTAACACCACATCTGCAACACTGAACAAAATAATAACTGAGAACAACAATCATCCACAATAAACATGCATAAACACCCCAAAATAAAGCAAAATAACTGAAAACATGACTACCTACAATGCACCTCCCCCACCAGTTGTTTATTGTTCCTGAAATCTAACAGAATTGCTAGTTTGCGGTTGTTTTTCTTGTAAATCCACAAATATTTAAAATAATATACAAGTCTGTTTATCAAACACACTTTAGGGCTGACGTGAAGTTGAATGGAATAATATAGAAACAAAATAATAAATCAATCATTTTTTGGTTACTTTTACTCATTAAAGTTAAGTTGTTGATTAATTTAAGTTATGCTTACTTAAAAAACAAATAGTTCGGGTTAATTAAAACGTTTGAGTTCTATGTACTTAAAACGAGGAAAAGGTTGAACAAGCTCAACACATTTGAGTTGTAAAAACAAATTATTAAATTATGAGTTTTATCTACTCAATATATTTGATTATTTTGAACTTTTGGGTTTACAGTGAATTGATTTAATCTGCAACTAAATGATGATACTCATCAGAAACATGAGTGATTTAATCGTTTAGCTATAATTTACTAAATAAATGTGCAAGCATGCTGCACAGATGCACACATAATCAGAGTCTGTGGATGACAGTGACTTTTACGCAACAGACGCTTAAACCATCTCATGAACTGAGTTATTTTTACTCCAATGCGTGCACCTCTACTTCTCCAAAAGCAGCGATTAATGATTGACAAGTTGGTGTGTTGATTCAGTGCACCTTGCTTTGGGTGGATCCAGCAGGATTGCTCACATCTCAGATGGAAAACAAACAGCAGGGAGATAGCTAATATGGGTCAGTCATCTGGGATTTAATAATGTGTGGACTTAAATTAACTTTAATACTTCATGTACTACTCAAAACTTTGGAAATGGAAGATAATAATGACCAAATGGAGTCATTAGTTTACCTGATCCCTTGATTTGCCTCTTTCACTACACACCTCACTCCTCATCATCCCTTCTGTTTACACCGACTGTTGACAACAAACCTGTAACATAAGCGCTCTCTTTGTGTTTGCAAATTAAAGGTTCATCTGTAATTTACATTGAAGAGGGAGTTTACAATAGTCCTAAATCAACACAAAAACTGAGGTCTGTGATCTACGGATCAGGGATGGAGAATCATAATGCAGGACGAAAAAATTGCTTTATGAGACCAATAACATAAAACAAAATCCTTATAAATCTGTGAGTGACTTCCTTCTTCATGCACAATAAAGTTAAGGTCTCTTTTGTTTAGATCCACGTGTATACATTTTTGGTGTGACTGTTTGAACTTGAGTCTCTGTGTTTGTCTCTCATATCTTGAAGCTGGAAGCAAACAGAGTGTAACCTTCAGCTGCTCCTGTCACAGCTGGTTGTTTCCCACCTTCTGAGGCGATACCCACACCCCTGCATGCTCACTTGCAATAAAGAGCATTGACTCAGCCCAGCAGTCCAGCTGAGTCCAGTTCCTTCTGTGATTATAAACATCAAATATCAGCTGTTACAGTACAAAATTTACATTTCCACTTGTGTTGCAAATAACTCTGGGAAAAGAGCGAGAACTGGACAGACACCAATGCATCCGATGTGGCAGATGATTTTTAGCCAGATCCTGAGAAATACTGGGGTGTGTCCATGTCTTCCTCTCACAACTTCCTCCCATCTCTCTGTAAAAAAAAACATGCTGAATTAATCTAAGCTCATTTTTTCTTTCCAGGGATAAAAGCTGTTCCTCACAGAATAAACACGCGCACACGCGCACACACACACACACACACACACACACACACACACACTGCAGCCAGTCTAATTTATTCCACGAGGTGAAAAGTTCATATAATTCACCACTAGATGGCAGCAAATGTTTGGAATTTCTAATTCAATAAAAAAAATTCATTTATTCATATCTTGTTTGCCACTCGGTGCAATTTGAACCCACGAAGACATTCAACTAAATTATTAAAAAGACTATCTGGCCTACTTTACATTTTACACATATTTTATTAACATTCAGACTGTATGTCAGCAAATTGAATCCACACATACATCTTTAAAATGTATTCAACAGTTCTTTTATTTTCATTAATTATTTGTGACAACAACCACATTTTCAATAAAATCAATTGAAATCATCTTTCAAATAAAAATACCTTGAATCAAAGGTGTTTTTGTCATGTTAAATCAAGTAATATTAGATCACATTGTTATTGTTTTTTTTTTTTTTGGCCCAACTATCCAGAGACTCACAAAATATAAGTTTAGAGAAATCTGAGACGATGCCATAAACAGTTTACCGGAAACTCGAAATAAGTTCAGATGTAACCGAGGTTTAGTGGAGAGGATACCAAATATTTTAATCTTATCTGTTGTTAGATCTTTGAATAGTTTCAGTTTAGAGAAAAAGAGATGATAAATGACCCGCACTTGTATAGCGCTTCTCAGATAAGGACTCCAAAGTGCTTTTCACTACAGTGTATCATTCATCCATTCACACACTGATGGTGATGAGCTACGATGTAGCCACAGCTGCCCTGGGGCGCACTGACAGAGGTGAGGCTGCCGAGCACAGACGCCACTGATCCCTCCAACCACCACCAGCAGGCAAGGTGGGTTAAGGGGCTTGCTCAAGGACACAACAGCGGAATTCTCTGTCCAGAGCCAGGATTGAACCTGCAACCTTCCGATTACTGGACAACCCGCTCATCCTGTTGAGCTACTGCTGCCCTTGATCCATGTCTTCTGATCAGACAGCCAAGCTGCAACATTTACAAAAGTATAAATATCACATTTTGTGGCCATTCCCTCAGAAAAAGTATCAAATTAAAGCCAGAGTTGCTTTAGTGATGAGCTAAAATTTAATTAGCAAGGATCAGAATGTGTTTTAAGATGGCAGACAAGTGTTGTTCTCTAACTAGCTGTTAGCTTATCAATCCAGTTAAAATCAACCTCTGTTTCTATTAACTGAAATTGTTCAAAATTATATTTACAGCAGGTAAATAATAATTATTCATACTTTTATTCACAAAAATATGTCAAAAGTTGCAATAAATGCTCCAAATGACAAAATGTTGGTTTGATAAAAATTGTTATAAATATTGGAAGACAACGTGTTTTCCTGAATCATGTTTGCAATCCCTTCAAACTTTCAAATTTAAATACAGATTACCCACCAAAAAAAAGTGGTTCTGAGATTTAAAGTGAGGAATGTTGTGTAGGCTGAGCGTTCTTGAGTCAGTGGGAGACCTAATAAACGCCGATTGAGTCCTGCTCAGACCCAGAGCCAACACTCAGGCCCTGCCCACATCTGGAGTTCTGCAGTAACCTGAGAGGAGAAGAGACCACCCCGAGAAAGAGGGCAGAGCAACAGTGAAGTGTGTGTGTGTGCAATGTCAGCTTGTCAGAACAAGGAAAGCAAATGAGAGGGGCGTTAACTTTGATGAATGTGGGACTTGCTTGAGGGAGTTTCCAAAGTGTTTAAAGTTTGCTGCAAACGCTGGACTTGAGAGTCTGCTTCCAGAACTTGAAGATGTGCACAGTCACGCTGGATAGAAGCCAAACTCACGTGACGGAGCACAAACAGATCTGATCTACTCACAAGTTTTGATCTAAGAGAAGATCGAGCACAAAATGGGGTAAGAAAAACAGCAAAACAAGGGAGGAAAACAGCTAAAGATGGACTAGGGAAAGACAGAGACGTAAAGGACAAACTCTCCTAAGGACATGCGCAGGGATCGAGTCACTGTGGGACTTCTGCTGCGTTTGGGCATCCTGCTCTCGGCCGTGTGCTTCTGCATGCGTGTTTATCTGGAAACCAGGTGGCAGGGAGCTCCTTCATTTCCAGCTCTAGGACATCCCATCCAAACAGATCAGGGCTTGGACAAAGAAGTCAGGACGAAACATGCTTTTGCAGAGGACAAAAACTTTAGAAGATCTCATGTTGAGACTCTGAGGAAGAACAGCTCAGCCAGGGGGAGGGGAGGAGGTGGAGATGGAGAGGACCTCCTTACGCAATGCTGCCCACTTCCCCACCTGCCCAGAAAGGTAAAACTCCTCCAGGTTATTTGTCATGCTTGATTGTTGGGTAGCTGATCCTGAGTCAGCGTATCGTTGGCTTAAAGCTCTGTAATAAGGAGGGGGATGAAGAAGGGAACATCAATGCTTTATTTTCTGACACATCTGCAGTTAAACAGATACCGACTGAGCACACAACTCAAACACACCCTCCTCCTCCTCCTCCTCAGCTAATCTGTGTAGCATCACACCCAACAAAGGACCGCTCAAACACAGCATCCCTCGGAGCAAACACACTGACTCACCAACACAAACTCCTGGAGCTTCAGCCCAAAGCTCAAGTGTTTCCGATTCATCTCCTCTCACTATTGCTGCCCCCTTTTCTTTCCTTCCACTTCAGAAACACACATTTATTCATAAAACACACAACAAATGTGCCTTCCCCCCTGCCAACCCTCCTCCTCTATGCTGCTGTTCCTTATTATGCTCATTTGAAGCGTTACACACTCGTTTGCGCTTGTCTTTGAATCTTTTACATTCTAAATTAGCTAGAGACAAACGGGCTAAAGTGATGAGTTTTAAACGCCACAGAAATCACTGCAGGGCTATCATACCCCAGTGTGGGATGAACATTTGTGCACCATCAATATTACACAACACCATATGCTCCCTCTCTCTCACACACACACACATGGATGCCCTGGAGGGGCCCGGATGAACAACTCTGTGTCGAGTGCCGCTCCTATTTAAGTCCCTGTTTTTCTCAGCTTACATTTCTCCCCCTTTTCCCCTTCAGGCCTTCATCTCACAGATGACTTTAACTCTTTTGTTCTGTCACTTTTCACCACACTCTCATCCTCCCCTTGTTCTTTCCTCTGCAAGCAAAACCGAGGGCCCTCTTCCCAATTTGCCCCGATATTTTATTCCTTTGTTCACACCAAAGTATAACGAGCTGGAAAGAAGAACGGTGGTTTTGCATGAAGAATAAGAAAGCTCTTTTGAAAATAGGCAAAATTCTAGAAGTCTGCAAAGTCTGGTTATTTCTCATATTTCCTTGGTGGTCATTTCAGAGTAAATCACTCTTTGGAACACCTTCACCTCAGAGCAGCAGGTCGAGGTAGTATGCTGATTCTACCAAGTTCATGACTTATGTAATAAGAAGGAAGTAAGCACTCTTTTAGTCCCTCATTTCTGCACTGAGACTTAAAACAGTCAAAAATCTCCTCTATTTGTCTTCATAGACTCATCATTGTTGGAGATCGACCCTGCAGCAGCTCTGTGAAACATCAAAATAGGATTGCCGGGATATCTTAATATTGATCTTAAAGTCCAAATTATCTGAAGAAGCTGTTATTGCAAAATCTCAAAGCTCAAGTTTTCAGATCATTTCTGAGACTTTGGGCAAGATGTTTGAAGAAACTGGAGATATATATTTTTTTCATATTAAATGCACCTCTTTTGCAATTTTACTTTGTGAAACTCACATTAAGTCATTACAATGTGCACGTCAACAGCTGCTACATTTTTTGAGTCAGTCTTGCTAACAAGGTTTTGCAGCTTAAAGTAACACAAAGCAGCTTCCTGCCCTACAGGTTGAAAGTGGAATTGCAACTGTTGTGAACAACCCTGCTGCTGCAGCCAGCTGTAGCTAGCGCTAACAACAAAGCTAACACTAACATGAGCCAACTAATACTCAAATAAACCACAAAGTAAAAATACCCACACGGTTGGGCAAAATGTATCATTACTTACAAGTCCAGTAGCAACAAAGCCAGGTCACAATCAGACTGATTTTGTAGCCCCCTTTAGCGCCCTCAAACTAGAGTGGGCCACCCTATGTTCACTCTGGTTTTAGCTCTTTGCCTTACCTCTAAAGACATTACTCTCTTACTTTTACTTCCAAGCTCTGCCATGACGCCAACAGAACTTGTGCTTTTTATTGACCATCAACAAACTGAAAATGCTAACCGCTAGCATTACAGCTAATTTAATCATCAAGGAGATCGTGCTCCCGTTAGGGCTACCTGCTCAACAAAATTAGATAGTTTTTGGTCAGCAGAGGGAGAACTCAGAGACAGGGAGTGACAGCAGGAACACACCTCAGATCGTGACACATTTTTCCAGAATAAGTCTTGTTTGAACTATTGTTTTAATGAAAAATCTAAACTTGTTCAAATTTGACTAAATCAATGACGCTCACCATTTCTTTTCAGGACTGAGTTTAATTTATACCACTAGCATTCATTTTTGATCAACAAGACTTTATTAGATCTATATAAAAGAATTTAAAATTTCTATTTTATCCTCAGCCAATCATATGTTTACTGTATGACAAAAGGACACAAGTTGGATTTAACCAAAAAAAAAGGGATTTTTTTATTTTATATAAAACTCATTCTGGCTGACTAATCCTGTGTTTTTTTTTAATTTTATTAAACTGAGCAAAACTGCCTTGGGGGTTGCTTTAGTAAAAATGAATCAAGAGGAAATCTCTCGTCCCAGCTGTCAAGACACTCAGATGCATACCCACTTCTACTTCCGTCAGTTACCTTGAACTGCTGGGAGAAGATGAAACGGATCCGTTTGGAAACTATCGACACAAAACCAAACATCAGCGGGGGAAGAAGGGTGAGAAAGAGACAAAAGTACAGAGAAGACAAAGAGAATGGATGAGTCAGACCCTGACTTTACCATAAACAGTCCACTGGCCCCTGAAGTAGCAGCGACACACACACACACACACACACACACACACACACACACACACACACACACACACACACACACACACACACACACACACACACACACACACACATCAAGCCTAACAGCAAAGATCTGTCTCTGTTACAGAAACATTTGGCTCAAAAGAAACAGCTGCTGGCAGCTCAATAGGTCACAAGAGGCCACCATTTGACATCATCATTTCACTGACTTTGCTTCCCTTCTGTCCAGCTGTCACTTCATGCCAGCAGTTGCGGGGATGTGCAACCAATAAACACCAAAGAAAAACGAATATTTCGTATTTTTTGAATACATTTGCCTATTTTGGTTTTGTTGCTGCTCTGAGGAGAAAGAAATCTGAACCTTAAAATTCCCCTCAGCATGCCTACTGACTGGGAAAAAAAAGTAAGACAAATCAAGAGAAGACAAACAAGTTGATTTCCACTTAGGAACTAATGGTCCCCTCCATGCCACCACCGATAAAAGCCAGAACCACTACCCTTTAGTTGCACGTTGCTTTTCCACACAACGCTAACCGATAAATATCTCCAGTGGCCAACTTTGAAAACAAACAGTCACACATGACAGGATCTGCAGGCAGCTCCGTCGCTGCTGGATGTCATCATACACGTGTACAATTAAAAAGAGATTATAGAAACTTGGCTCCTACGAGAGATGCAAGCCGTGCCAGGAAAAGGATTTGGTGTTTATGAAGCTGATTTGGCAAAGTGCTACAGCTTGGAAATAAATAGAACAGCAAAAAATGCCTTTAAATGAAAAATTTAAGAAAGTTTTACCACAGTTACAAACATGTTTAATGATAAATGATATAGAAGAGGAACTTTACACTAACTGAGATATTATTATTGAAACCATGTCTGTTTGCCCTTGATCCAGTTCCTGTAGATGACTGACTTGAATAAATAAAGTGGATTGAACTGAATGAAGACCTGGGTTTGTTCAATTGGTTCAGATTGTTGTCTTGCACCAAGCAATCTTCAGAATCACATCGTTACTTTTTTAAAGGATACTATAAAATCACATTTCATAAAAAACATTTGACTTCTCCGTAGAGTAATGATCTCAGGTATTGTGCTCTGATTTACACAGCAGTGCATCGTGTCCTCTTTTTGTGTACTATGAAGGTGCAATCGTCATTTTTTAGTCATGAGAAAACATATTATTGTTTGTCCTGCTGTGAAAGAGCCTGAACTGCACATAATGTCCTGAAAACCCTCAGAAATGTATTGATGAAAACAGTTTTAGATTCAAACGGAGGGGCAGAGAAAAGAAGACGTAGAACAGTATAATCGCTGTGTTGCTTTACAAATTGAGATTAACAGGACATATGAGAATAGGTAAGAGATTGTTGATGAGACAGCAAGGATTTTTTTGTTTTCACTCAAATCTAAGCTAAAACATGAGGATAAAATATGTTTTCCCCCCTTTTGGTGGATTTAGTTATTAAATGAAACCCCACAAATCAAATAATAATAATTTCCAAACACTTGTATTAAAAAAAAGAAACTTCCCTTTTAATTGGCTAAAATGTCAGAAGAAAATGAAAGCTAGAATTTTTAACATTTTCTGAAAAAGAGAAATTGGTGGCGGTCTCCTTGTGGCCTCCACGCTCCGGGGGGAAATCTGGATGTTTGTGGCTTCTGTGGGTCTGTAGGGGCAGGTCTGTCGCCCTCTACACTTACACAAGCGCGTGTGCGCACAGAGCTGCTCACATGGTGCTCTCACAAGGATGCACTCAGGCGTGTTTGACACATAACCTAGGGCTGTGGTTGACACTAAATGCACTATGAATTATTACTGTGTGCTTTTCAGCAAAATTTGTTCCTGTTATACATCCTTGTGTTGTTGGCACAGTGGCATCTTGGTTCTGTTGTATTTTTGTGTGTCCCTCTCTCTCTCTCTCTCTCTCTCTCTCTCTCTCTCTCTCTCTCTCTCTCTCTCTCTCTCTCTCTCTCTCTCTCTCTCTCTCTCTCTCGCTCTTTCTGCAGGTCTAGAAGCGGAGTCTTCTACATTTTTTATTGTTTATTTTTGTCAGTTTTCTCCCCCACCTCTTCCTTTCGTCTTTCTCTTCCATCCCTGTGTTCATTGGACTTAAAAACAACCAAAAGCCTCTCTAATAAAGTTTTGATATCAGGCAAGGCATTATAGCTGAATCTAAAATGCTCCACCTGTCAGAGTAAAATTGTAAGGCTTCTTTTTGGCACCAGACATGAAATCCGATTGCTTTACAGCCGAACAGGACATGAAGAAAAAGAGAGAATAATGTTAAATGAGCTGCTTTTCTTCAAGTTATTTTCTTTGCAATGCATCTTATGTCACTCCTTCCATCTATTTTTAAAATATGTCAAACACATAATCAACAAAAAGATAGTAGAAATAAATTTAATTATTAATCTGCTTAATACACGCATTCCATGAATTCTTCCTAACATCGATCCAGTTTCACAAAGTTCTGCGAGTATGGGCGCTGCAGAGCTTCACAGGAATTCTTTCCCAGCGTTGTTCAGTTTCTCCCGGATAAGCCCGCTGTCATTCACATGTCACACCAGCTGAGCTTCAAAGCACACAAGCAGGCAGAGCATAGATCATAACCACAAGGCAAAGGGGAACCATGGATTTCTTTCGACAAGACTTCAAGTTTGTGAAAATTTTATAACCTGAGACACAGCGACAGGCCGCTGAAGCGATCATCGGGTGATGTAACTCTGAATAAATGTCAATCTGTCTTTTATAAACCTGGATGTCTCTAAGGACACCAACTAAACCAGTCATGCCATTTCAACCAATGTGTCAAAATAAATCTCTAGATTATTAAAAATATATACTTAATTAACTCATTATGGACTTAATAAATATTTGATTTGATATCTGACTGCACAGATTAAAAAAATGAATATTCTTTGACAGCATTTTTTCTGTAAGACAAATGTGACTAAAAATACTTTTTTTCTGTTCCCTGGTTCCACAAGAAAATCTAACCTAACCTTTTGAGTGTTTTGGTCATTGTTTTCGAGTCTAGTTTGCTCATTTGTGAGGCAAATCAGAAAAAACATAATTTCTCCTGAATGATTAAATCCACATTGGAAAAATAGCTTGGAAAAAAAAGGCCACTGTGTGCACCCGCTTCTGTCAGCTTATTTCAGACCCCAGTGGAGTTTGTAATGTTGAAACCCGTTGACCATGGCCATTTCTGGGACTATCAAGTGACTTGGCTAAACAAAAGACTTGACAGCCCTGAAAGGATCTGACAGAAAAGGAGAGGGGTTGACTCCTGTAATCCCAAAGGTTTGACTGGAGTCAAGTCTCAGGAATGTTTAACTCTGGAACTGGAAAGTCACAAGAAATCACGGCTAATAAACTGACATAAGACCTGAGTCAAACTCCCTTGACTGTGGTAACATGTCAGGCTTGTTGCCAGGACTGGAGATGAATGATGCACATTACAATATAAAAATGAAATACAATTTAACACAATAAATTACAATACTTTATGATAAGATACGATGCAATGCAATCCATTGCAATGCAATGGAAAACAATACAATACAGTAAATTGCAATGCAATACGATACAATACGATACAATGCAATATGTTACAATACGATACGACACGACACGATACTATACGATGCGATATGACACGACACAATACGATACGATACGACGCAATGCGATGCGATACAATGCAATGGAATACAAAACAATACAATCAATTGCAATGCGTTATGATACGACACGATACAATATGGTATGACACAATACCATATGATACACTACGATACGACATGACATGACACAATACGATACGATATGATACGATATGATACGACACGACACAATTCGAGATGATACGATACGATACCATACGACGTGATCAGAGGTGGAAAGAGTACTAAAATGTTGTACTTAAGTACAAGTATAATTACTTTCATGAAATTTTACTCAATTACAAGTAAAATTACCTGCCTCAAAATGTACTCAAGTAAAAGTAAAAAGTAGCTTATTTCAAATGTAGTGAGAGTAAAAGTTACTTAGTTACTTTTTTGACTGTTCAAGGACGGGCTCTTCTGAATAGTTAAAAAAAAGACAATGGGGTATAAATGTCAAAGTGGCCGTTTTTTTAATTAAATGAACAAATATGCATATTGAAGTACAAAGGCAGTTACACTGCAAACTAGTAACATAAATTAGGTTATAGTCACAGGCCCATGACTTTTCCCTGAATGCTTATTTAGAGCAGCTGATTTTTAAAGTTAGCAGAGTTCATCTTTGGTAGTGGGTTCACTCACTCATTTAAAGATATCGGCCAGAGGCAAAATTTGTTTGAACAGCATGTGTAAATGTGTATTAAAATCTCAGATGAAAAAGGTTTTTGGATTTTGACGGCTGGAATTGTAAGAAAATCTGATGTTTGTGACCGGCGCAGGAAAAACAGAAACTAACTTCCAGTCTAAGCCCTGGGAAGCAGTTGACGTTTCACAAGGAGCTCTGCTGAAACAGCTGTAGTAAACAACGCCTGACTCCGGTGTTTCTGCGTTAGCGTTATAGCAGAGAACAATGTGTCATCAATCAGATGTAGCTTCTGAAGCCTCTACTAGTCCATCAGATTAGTTTTTTCTCTGGGATACGGCGACGAGAACGGATGTTAGATTACTGGAGAAGTTCAACTGAACTTCGACCCCGCCAGCTGAATATCACTACCAGAGGTGCAGACATGTTTTAGACTGTTTGACTCAGAAGACCTGCGACCCGATTTGGACATAGAGGAGGAATCTGTTCATCTTCAGAACCAAAATCGGTACAGTTTGTTTACTTTTCTTAAAGTGCATGTCAAGTGTGCCTCAGAGTCTTACCCCACCCACGTATCAATTTTGAAAACTGCAACATTAGTAGGCGTTGCCTGGAGGACCGAGAGGGCGGAGCCGTGGCAGTGACGAAGAGACGGCTAACTAGACGAAGCTAGCTCCCTTCACTCTGAGCAGTCATTAGAAGTGGAGGACGTTTCTCCCCCTCCTTACCCAGACACTCGAGAAGAAAGGGACCAAGTCTATTTGGAGGAGACAAGCGGACATGAGCCTTATTGTTTTGAGCTTGTGAGTTGCCTGAAATTACTGGAACCGACCCAACAGACCCATCTCTGAACGTAAGTAGCCGTTAGCCATAGCATTGGATTAGCTGCAGGGTTTGTCTCCATGGCCCCAAAAAGCTAGTATTCAGCATGTTTTAGAGATTTATCTGCATCAACACACCTGGTTTTAATCAGCAACAAACAGCTGAGCTGCTTAACAGCTTATCTAACCTGTTAAAGCAGGAAAATCCACTGAAACGTGCTGGATAGCAGCTCTCCAGGAGATCTGGGCTCAAGCTAGTCTGCTGCATAAAGTTATGAAAATATACCATGAGAAAATTATTCTGTAATGTGTTCAGCCCATTAAAACTGCCCTGATTTCATTATTTATTTACTGATACTAGCTGCTCTTGGTTGCAGGTGATCCTCTGGTGTCTGCAGCTGGTCTCCTGCTGATGTCGTCGGGATCAGGAACTTCCAGAAGAATGTGCCTTTCAATGACTCTTTCCCCCTTATTTGTTATATTAATTAAATAAATCTCAATTTATATATTTCCTGTTTTTGTTCATGTCCATAAATACTTAAACATGCTTGAAATTAAAACGAGCTTTTAACAGTGAGGTGCTAGTTTAGTTCATCACAATAGAGCTAGTTAAACATGCGACAATGTGATAATTCAATTAATGTAATTTATAAATATCCATTAAAATATCAAAACTGGAATCAAAATGAGATATTTGGCAGCACAAAAAACTTGTCAAACACAATATTTATTATAATAATTGTAGGCAGACAGGAGACAGAGCTGATGGAGGTTCTCAGTCATCGAAGGATGGCTGAAGGCTTTCCAGGAACAGGAGATGTGGTGTTGTCTCTTCTCTCTCTATTCTGCCAGATGAGCTGATAGGTTACAGGTGTGTGAGGACATCCTCATGCTGTCATAACCAGATGACAGGAGTTATCAGGTGATCAGCCAGGCTAATGATGAGATGCAGAAAGAAAACAAATCATGCAGAAAGAAAACAAATCCAGGACAGTGTACAGTAATAAAAATAATATGTGGTGTTGCTTACCTTATGTGCTCTTATAGAGTTATTAACGTGTGCCTGCCTCATGGTGTAGAGTCCATATTTTGCTGAGTGTCCTGCAGTAATGCAGGTTATTAGTTAATTTACTTTTGATAGCAAAAACAAAATATTTAATTTAAAAGTTATTTACCAGGTGAATCAGCTCACACGTCACCACCTGGTGGTGACCACCAAGTGTCACAGGGCCAGAATCAGTAGCCTCCTTCATGATGTAATCACATACTTATTTAATTGTTAATATCTTAAAAATTCAGAAATGTTTTAATTTTTTTTTACCTTGAACAGTTCACTGAGCTTGCACTGTCACTGAGGTGGAAGCTGGAATCAACAGCAGACACCTCACACCGTGGTCTTTTCAGGAGGTGTGGATGCTCTGGGACCTTCTGGAAGATGAATTTCTGTCATGGTCCCTGTGTCACAAGACACTGAGGCTGTGAGCTCTATAAAAAACAAAGAAGCAGCACATTTATGAACGTTTAAAAGAGCATAAAATCACGTGTAACAATCTGTAAAACAAATTAAAACTAGAAGGTAATAAAATGTTTACATAGAAGACTATTAAAAATAATTCACCTTTGCTACGGGTAACACCACGTCAGCCTGGACAAGTGCATTCTTGCAGATTACTAAATCAGTCTGACAGCCAGTGTCTTGGGTAGATTTAGCCTGAAAAAAAATAGAAGCACATTGATGTTTATAAAGTCAGATAAAATACAAAAAGAAACTGTCCCATATAGGCGCTTTATAACATTCCTAGTGTGTGATGTTATTATAAAGTAAAAGTCAGTCACATATGATGTGGAGACCCTGAAATGCGACCTCCTGAACAGAATTCCTCACGGAACCGGGTCACGCTGTGCTGGATTTCACGCTGTAATGATGTCTGTCAACTAGTGCTGCGTCAGTTTAGAGTCACTGTTGCTGAATTACCGACTGACACAAAAACAACCCGAATTTTCTCTGAGCCTGACAGTCATGTGGACCGTTTTGTCGGCCAGGGCTTCGAGATATGTTCCGATTCGCCGCTGATTCTAACCTTACATCCCGTTCCACATTTTGTGAACTTGACAAAATAGCCCGAAGGCAGTGCAGACTGATATTAGCTAAATGGAGTGAACCACGTCTCTCAAACTTTGCATTTAGGTAGGAAATTGTCTTTAGAAGATGTTAAAACTTTTATTTAGCTTACTCACCTCAGACTGTAGCCCGTCATGGTGGGGGAGCAGAGTCGGTGGGCTGTATCTAAATCGCGGAAGAGCCACGGTGGGCACAGCCTCCCTCTTGGAACGGAGACGTGCAGAATCGCGGGTAAAATGCTGGTTGCAAACTACAGCACCAGGCGGGAGCTGAATCTTTTCCAGACACGCAACCACTGGCGCCTAATTTCTAAGTCCAGCGGAAAGGAGTGCAACCCGACAGAGCTCCGCAACCATACTACACTACACCATCTCACCATGCTAACACGATATGGAGCACTAAACCCGAACTACTTTCCTAATTACACTAACAGCCAAACAGTAACTAAACTACAATATCCAACAGCCAAGCTAACACTAAATAAGTATGTATAACACTAAAAGCTATGCTAAAGACTAGGATATGCTAATGCTATATGCTAATGCTGAACTACGGCTAGCCTCCTACACTCTCATGCAAATCCAACTCCCAACTCGCCACAAGGCGTGGCCGAGACTCCCGATGCTTTTATAACGTTGACACAGAGCTGCTACGTAGTACTCTACTGGATTACGTAGTATCTTACTCTTTAGCCATTGGCTAAAATTTATTCAAAATGAGTCAAATTCTATGTTTTAAGCTGAAGGTGGAGCTATACTGTGGTATTTAGGCAGAATTTTTAATTTTTTAAGAAAATGCACCAAAATGCTAAAATAATGAATACACACATTTAAAACACTATTAGACACTCATTTATACAGTTCATCAGCAAAAAAAAGTTAATTTAGACGTTACTTGCTCTTTAAATATTTCATTTCTGTGCTCCACTGGAAGCTCTAAGCTGGCAAGTTTTCAGCTGGTCTTAGCTCCATCATGTGTCCCAATATAGTTCAGTAATCTACAGTTTTACTGCTGTGTGTATTTATTGACATAACTCTGGAAAATAATGAACCTACAATTTACCAGAATAAATCTTCCTGATGCTGGAGTAACTCCTTAGCTCAATTCGTTGTTTGCACTAATCCAGGATGTCATGGAGGTTCTAATGTTGAAATATAGAGATCATCTTTTAGATTATATCTCTGTGTGTGTGTAAGTGTGTGTGTGTGTGTGTGTGTGTGTGTGTGTGTGTGTGTGTGTGTGTGTGTGTGTGTGTGTGTGTGTGTGAGTGCGTGCGTGTGTGTGTGTGTGTGTCGTAGCTTTCCCAAAGGACTTGTTCTTTCCTTACCGGAGCGAACACGGTTAGTTTTGCTGCAGTCATGCTAACGGGACTCGTCTAGAGTCCAGAAGTAGCGGTGCGGTTCTAGATGGATTTATAGATGTAGGTTATTATTTTAGATCAGGCCTGTTATTTAAAAATGCGTGTAGGACACGGACACATGGCTCAGACCTTTTGCTGCAGCTGTAAATGCAATTTTACGTAATAATTAGGAGCATGAAAGTAAACAAATAACAGTGATTCACAATATTAGCATCAGCAGCTAGCTTGTTTTACGTGTTGGAGTGACGTATGCGAAACACAGTTCTTCAATGTCTGGAGGAGAGGATTTGGATTTTCTGTAATCATTTATGACAAAAGTCTTTAATAAAATAAAAAACTGGACCCAGTACATGTTTATATAGATAATAAAGTGTAGTTATTTTGCATTTCTACAATTTTAATGCCGAGCCAATACCTTTAACCCTTCACCACTGAAATCAGTTTGTTCATTCCAGTCCTCCTAAATAATCCTCCAATCATCCAACTGGAATCCTTAAGGGTCCCGTAACGTCCATCCTGTCAGAACAGGCCGTGGGAGCCCAGGTGTTACTAGAACTAACAGTGTCTCCTCACCAGCGTGAGCCTCCAAACTGTGAAGGTTGGTCTCCAAACATGAACTTCAAATTCATGCATTTATCTCCTCTTGTAACACTTTAACATGTTTTAAAAGGCTTGTATCATGATAAGTTACACCTCCCAGACCAAAAATAGGTCCAATATAAGATAAAACATTATCATAAACAATGCAGAGACGTCATTGTTTATTAAATACAAGTTATTTTCCTGAGCCATTACTTCAGCCAAGATATTGGATGCATGGATTTGATGAAGCCATGCTGTCTTATGCAGTCCTACACACACACACACACACACACACACACACACACACACACACACACACACACACACAGACAGACACACACACACACACACACACACACTGCAGCATGTTGGAATCATTTGAATGACTAATTTAACTACACTGAACTGCTTTTGTAATAATTTAATCTCTTATTCTGGAGTAAAATAAAGAAACAAGCTAAATCATCACATATCTGTGGCATCAAGAAGCAACTTCTGAGTTCAAACACAGGGATGGAGCACAATGTTTACACCTGAACAGTATCAGGATTAACTCACAGAGGCCTGCAGGTCTTCTGTTTTATGAGCAGAGCTATGAGAATCCGCTTCTTAGGAGCGCTAAACGTAATTTTGCCGCTTCCGTGCGCGGTATGGAAACATATTTCAAACACGGAACCGAGCCTGGTTGCCGAACCGAGCAGAATTCTGATGACGTCACACCGGTGCGCGAAGGTGCGGGTTCCAACCCACAGGAGAGGAGACCGCGGTCAAGTGTGGAGAGGAGGGAGAGAGGAGGTAAACAGCGAGTGGATCACAGAACTTTTGTTTTTGAGCAAAACTGCGGTAAAAATGGCTGTTTGTCCTCATCATAAAGCGTGGCGCTCATGCAGGTGTCTCTTTCTGTTCCGACGCTGCTACACGTAATATTTTTAATTTATTAAGCCTACAATTTATTTTTACTCAGTAATGGATATGATTTAAAATGTAGCGAATTACAATTCTTTTTTAAAAACTTACTCAAGTAAAAGTAAAAGTACAGATTTTAAAAACGACTTAAAAAGTATAAATTTACAAAAAAAGCTACTCAATTACAGTAACGTGAGTAAATGTAATTCATTACTTTCCACCTCGGGACTTGATGCAATGAGATACGATGCAATGCGATACATTGCAATACAATACGATACAATGCGCTGAGGCACAGTAGGAGGTGATACAACCTGATGTGACACTATGACACAATGTGATAAATGCAATATGATAATGTAAGAAAAGGGATACATTATACATTCAAATACAAAATGACAAAATATATTGATACTATATTGTACAACATATAACTGATATTAAGAAACAATCAGATATGATGCAATAAAATTAAGACATAATAAAATTCAACATTATACAATACCAGAGTATTTTATTGGCCCATCCATCCATCCATCCATCCATCCATTTTCGGCCACTTATTCAGGGTCGGGTCGCGGGGGGCAGTAGCCTAAGCAGGGAGGCACAGACTTCCCTCTCTCAGCCACTTGGACCAGCTCCTCCAGGGGAATCCTAAGGCGCTCCCTGGCCAGCCGTGAGACATAGTTTCTCCAGCGTGTCCTGGGTCTTTCTTTAGGCCTCCTCCTGGTTGGACGTGCCCAGTAAACCTCACCAGGGATGCGTCCAGGAGGCATCCTTACCAGATGCCCGAGCCATCTCAACTGGCTCCTCTCGATGTGGAGGAGCAGCTGGTCTACTCTGAGCCCCTCCCAGATGACTGAGCTTCTCACCCTCTTTTATTGGCCCCGAGGGAAATTTAATTTTGGAGCTGTTGTTATCTTTTCACCATGTTTCTGCTATGTTTAATGATGGAAGGACATATCCAAATGCAGATTTGGGATAGACTACAAGTTACAACTGAAGTTTTTGATAAAGAAAAACACTGAAGTGCTAGCAAAATAAAACTACTGGTACAACCAGGACTATAATTAAAGAAGCTGAAGCTCCTAACAGACAAGAGGTTAAAAAAAAACACACACACACACACACACACACACACACAAAGATATAGGACAACAGGTTCTAGATGACACCAAGAGCTCATGTATGCTGGGATGGTGAAACAGGGAGTAGCTGGCTGATTAACTGATGAAGAGCAGGTGTGTAACGTACTGAATGACTGGAAACATGAGGGAAAAAAACACAGTGACACAAGAAACTATAGAAAACAAAGATTTTAAAAATAAAAAAAAATGCAAGAGGCCAAGTGACCAAAACACTCAAAATACCAGATAAAGCTAACTTAAAATATAAATATGTAAACATCCAAACTCTCCAACTATTACAGAGCTGTTCAGAAACTATTTTTTCAAAAAAGTGACAAAAATTTGCTAATTGTTTTATTTGATTGTATTTGAAGTTGGTTCACAGCTGCCGTATAAAGTTGTACACCTCCTTTTGAAAAGAAATTGCTATGCCAACGGCATTTGGCAGGGGGATTTTTCTGTCTCGTCCCGAGTGCCGGTGCCCACTCCCAATTTTAAACTGCACTTAGACACAGAGGGCTGTGGGTGTAAGTGGGGTGGTGTGGTGGCATCAGCTGGCAAAGGCCAGACGATGCCTGCACTGCCCGCTCACCACAGCCATGGAATTCATCTCATCAACACACACTAACACTGTATTGGAGGGAGACTAGGGGTCTTAGCACACCTCTGTTGTCGCTTGGATTCCCGGGGCTGGAGGCTAGGAGGGAGATCTGGCCGTCTGGTTGGGGTCTGGGGTGGTGGGGTGCTTTGCTCGGCGTTGGGCGGGGAAGCCTGCTCATCAGCACCCTAGCAGAAAGGGTCAAATTCTGGGAACCGGTGATGGTTGTATCCTTTGTGCAGCAGTACCGGGACCAGAGTAAATAGGGTGTGTGTGGGGAGCATGAGTGGGTGTATGGAGTGTATTTTTGTAAGTCTTGGGTTGTATATGTATGTGTGAGCATGAGGGAGGGAGTGTGTGACTGTGTTTGTGTATGACTGTATATGTCAGGTGGGGCCTTTGACTCCTCCCCTCTCCTGGGACTTCTTTTGCTGCTATATATCTTTGCCTCCCTCCCCCTGCCACACCTGGTGTGGAGTGTGGCGCCTTCGTCTACCTGAGCTTTCGTGGCTCCCAGGTCAGGGGGTTTAAGATTTTTGGCATCTGCCTGATAAATCCCGGTGGCTGCCTGGTGGGGTCTGAGCCCATGGGCTCCGCTGGGTCCCCGGCGGGGCTGGTCGCCCCTGGGTCCCGGGTCGCTGGGTTCCGTGCTCGGCTGGCTGGGGATTGGGAGGCTGCAGGCGGGCCTGTGGGCTTGCCTCTGATATTTCCCGGGGCTCTGCTGGCTGCTTGTTGTGGTCCCCTGGGGCAATCCTCTGTGCCTCTTGAGGTGGGCAGGGGCTTTTCTGGTTGCAGTCTCCCTGGGGTCCCTGTGCTCTGGGGTGGGTCCTGGATCTCTGGGACTTGGAGCTCTTTCCACCTCCTACACATCTTTGGGGAGCAGATCTGTGGCCCCTCACACTCTCTATTAGACGCTCCTATAGAGAAACCTTACAACGCTTCACTGACATCCGGTACATTTCCCACCTCTCTCAAGCATGCTCAGGTCAAACCGCTGCTAAAAAACCCATCTCTTCCTCCAAATTATGTGGAGAACTACCAACCTATCTCTCTCCTCCCTTTTCTGTCCAAAATCATTGAAAGGATGGCTTTCAAGCAGATCACAGAATACCTCTCACAAAACTGTCTGCTTGACCCTTACCAATCTGGGTTCAAAAAGGGCCACTCCACTGAAACTGCTCTGTTAGCAGTGACAGAATCCTTAAAAAAAAGCCAGAGCGACTGCCAAATCCTCAGTGCTAATCCTGCTCGACTTATCAGCTGCATTTGACATCGTCAACCATAGCTTCCTTGTGTCCACACTCTCTAGCACGGG